ATACTTGAACAACACAAAACAGCAAAAGATCTGTCCTGATCTGACACAAAAACTAACCTTTGCTTTCCTTAAATAAAACTATAGATCAAAATTGGAAAGAAGACAAGGGGACTGGATACCAGTGGCATAGATGCTCATGCCCTTGGAGAAATCCTTTGTTCACTGCCGTCTACATTTTCTTTGTATAAGCCTGGCTGCTAAAAAAATCTCTGTAGAACCCCGCCTTTATGACTTTACAGTGCCTGAGCTTATTCAAAATAAAGTTTTACCTGAACAAAGAACCATGACATTAGAACAGCTCTTAGAGGTTCTCCATTTCTGTGGGTGACTTTGCTAAATGGACGTAGTATGACACCTTTTGGGTAAAATTATTACAGAGAATGTTCTCAATCAATTGTTAGAGACAATCAGTAAGGGAAAATACATTTTGGGACTAGGTGCGCACATACAAACAAGGAGAGAGGAGGTAACAAGGGAGGAGGGGAGGTGTAGGGGAAGAAGTGTACGTATGTGAAATTCATCATCAGTGGCAAGGGAAAGAAAAAAACAAGAAGTAAAGATAAGATGGAGGGAGCAAGAAGCCATGAGTGAGTAGGGAAGAAAGGATAGATACATATTCACTTTCTATCCAGCAGCTTTGTTGCTCTAAGGAAGGGCTAATGCTTGAAAAGTCAGCTTTGAAATTCTTTACAGTGGTCAATTTCACATTATAAACATGATAACATTAAATCATCTAGCTTACCTAGTAAATCATCTTTAGCAATAGCTTGTAGAATTCTTGAGGCACCTAAAGAAACAACAATATATTTCTATCAATACTTGATGTTAAGATTATTATCTAAATGTTATTTTCTAGAAGGATCATACCGGGTAAGTATGTCATGGACTTCATGTGATCAAATGACAACATGCACTATGCACTAAGAAGCTTCAATGGACAATAAAAGATAAAATAAGGTTGACATGTTTAACATGCAACATGCACCAGTTTACCAACCTATAAGGCAGCTGAGAGCAGCTGAAAGAGTAGCAGCAAATGTTCCCATAGTGATCAACCATTCCACTTTGTTTATTTCCTGGGAATAAACAGCAGGATCATGTCAAAGGCTTTGTATTGTGTCCATACTGTGACTGTCAACTACAAGGAGCAGTCACCCATCATTCTACTATTGTTACTACTTCTATACACTACTGAGGTGACCATAATTGTCAGTGGGAAGCTAAAGCTATGGAAATTTTTCCTTTTCCCACAAGACAATAAACTCTTTAAACCCTAAGAGTGATTAGCATCTAATTTCTCCCTACAATATCTCTCCTGAATTGCACATTACAGTCATGAGCATAAAGGAAATAGTCACCAAGGAAGGAAACTTTTTCTTGGCAAACAAATTCTCCTTGTCAGCACCTTAGTAAATGTACAAAGAACAGTGTGGAGAAGATGCATCTTTATGCATAGAGTTACCTTAAGATAGTTGTAATTGTTTCGTAGTAAAGATCTGGGACACGTAGCACTCGTAAAAACCACTGCAATAAAAATCGTTTGCGGCAGTTACGTACTCTATAACTGGTGGAGGGAAATATCTTTCATTGTTAATATTTGGCAATAACCATTTAATTCAAGAAATAACCATTTGATTCAAGAAAGCTAAATGCATTTTTCTTAATATTTGATGTTTAATGATTATTATAGTTAATGCTCTGCTGCTAAATTTTATTTTCAGAAGTTGCATTTCATTATTGATAACATTACTGAATGAACTTTAAGATATTTGACTCACAACAATTCCCTTATTTAACATATTACAGGACATCATCAACAATAACTTTCAGGGAAAAACCACAAGAACAACAACCCTATTCAAAAACTTCAAATGTGACTCACCTAGGAGCAAATATACAATAAATGTAAAAACACTTGCACCAAGGGTACCAAAGGGTATAGCATATCCAGGTTTTTTCAAATCTCCTGATATGTTAGCACCAGCTAAAAATTATAAGACATTTTTTTTCCATTATTGAAAAATGGCAGAAAACACAAAGCCTGAAGCACAATAGAGCTGTCGATTCTACTTGCCATGCAATTGTAGTGAATTTGATCTCTAGTGAAAGTCTTGGATATCAAACATCCCTGATATCAGCAATTTTTGCTGATATCAACATCATAGCACTAGGAAAACCTGGCATTTTTTGCCCACTGTTGTGATGGGCTTCTTAATGAGCACAAGCTTGCACAATTACTTTCCCTGCATATATACCACCTTGTATATGTCTTCAATATGATTTATTAAAGAACTTCTCCCTGCAAAAAAGTTGGTTGGCAAGTGAAAAACTGATTTGAGATCTTACTAGGTTTTCAATCTAAAGGGTGGGAAATTTGAGCCACAGGAAATAAATTGATAGATATTTATGTGTGCAGAACAATCTGTCTGAAAAATGCTTAGTGAATTATTTACCCATGACTCCAGTAACCCCATTGAAGAGAACTCCAAACACTGTCAGAGAAGTCTGATGTTCCTCAGTTGTATAGTCTTTAGTGAAGTTAGGCTGCAAGAAAGAAATTACCAATATTAGGACTTCATTGACCCTCTAACTTATTTATATGATCAAAATTATTCTATCCAAGTGCCACAAATTCCAATGCAAATTAATTGAGGGAATTTGATTTTAAATCATGAAAACAGACTCCAAATGATAACTGCTGCTTTTCTCATCCTCTTTCTGCATTGAACCTGCATGTACATGAAAACAATACCAGATGTTGCCATGGAAACAAAACTTAACCTACAGTAACTTGTTCTTTGAATCATTACTGTAACAGTTTTTTTCCTTAACCATATGAAAAGTAAGTGCAAAGCTTTTCTCTGAGGCAAAACCATTGAGCATTTCTAATCAATCACTGCAAAATAATTGCTGGAGAAAGTTGAAACAGTATGATATACACAGTCAACCATAGATTAGTATACCTCTTGCCCTCCAAATCACATCTCTCATCTCTCTTTCCCTCTCTTCCTCCCAGTGACCCCTTCCTTACCATTTTCCTTCCTTCTCCCTCCCTCAAATGTTCCTTTTCATCTCTCTTTCCACCCTATCTCCTTCCTCCCTCTCTCCCTGCTTTACTCCCTCTCTGCCTCCTTCCCACCCCCTCCTATTCTACCTCCTTCCATTCCACCTCCCATATGCCCTCTCTCCCTCCCTCCTCCCTCTCCCCTTCCTTACTGCCTGTCTCCTTCTCTGACATATTTTCCTTTTCCCTCCCTTTCTAACTCCTTTCTTTCTTCCTCTATCATTCCTGGTCTCCCTCTCTCTTCCTTGACCCTCCTTCCCTCCTCTTTCCCTTCCTCTCTTACTCCCTCTCTCCCTGCCTCACTCACCTCTCCCTCCTTCCACCTATCCCCCCTTTCCTCCCTTCTTCCTCCCCTTCCTCCTTCCCCCTTCCTCTCCATCCCTTCCTTCCTTTCCCTCTTCATCACTCCCTCCTTTCTTATCTCCTTCCTACTTCCACTCCTTTTCTTGGAAACTTAGCCTCCTCAATTTGTGTTATTTTAGGATTAAAATATTATACTTTTCATTGAAATTGATATTGAGAAAAGGAATATTGCATAAACATACAATCCTGCTTTATATTCCTGAGAATAACCTTACCCAAAGATTTTTGTGTAAAGTTGTAGAATTCCAACCTGAGTATCTGTATGTAACATTCTGTAAAATAAACAGATAGAGTTAAAAAAAACTTGGTATCTTTTTCCCAAAAATCAATGACTATGTTAAATTTCATACACTGAAAAAGAAGTTGTATGACATTAAATAATCATGTCTTTTTTACTACTTTCGTGATAGTGAAGGAAAGAGCAATGCTCTTAACCCATGTTTAAACCATCCATAGCCATACCTTAATATATGGTTCTATGACTTGTTTTGAATACAGCTATCATGTCAGTACAAAACTCTGTAATTATGAACTTTTAGGTTTTAGGCTAAGTAAATGTGGTTCATACATGGCTGTTCATTAGAACATTTCTTTTCACTGATGATGAGCTCAACCAGAAGGTATGGAAACCCTTACCTCTATCAAACTTTTAGTCATGACACTAATTGTCTAAAATGGGACACTACTGTCCATAATAGGACACTGTTCTTCAAAGTCAGGCACTAATATTCAAAAGTGCTCATTGGTGTTCAAAATTGGACAACTGTGTCTGAAATTTGACACTTGCATAAGTCCATATAGGCTAAATATTCCACTCTCTTCTACTAGTTGGCAACTGACACAAAGTTCTGGGGAATTTTCCATTTTTTTGTTTCATGTATTTAGCTGACAGTATCAATACAGAACATGGCATTGGTTGCCAAATGAAAACTACCTTGGTAGGGCTATGCCCTGAATGTACTCCTGGTGATATGCCATCTTTGTGCTTGACAATGAGAAAACTAACCTAGGATTAACAATAAACATGACGATAAGATGCTGCTTGATAATTAAAAATAAAGTATATAATTCCTGTTAATTTACATGGCATTGCAATTGGTGTACTGTTTTTTCATAATTTCTAAAATTTAAAAAATTAAACATCAAACTCTTAATGCTTTATGCTTCAAGATGCTGTCACCTTGGTGAATACAGTCAAAATGCATAATAATATATCAAACTGTTCATAGTTTTGTTTGCAAAGCAGCTTTTCAATTCTTAGTACAACATCAGGAAAAGTTCTGTCATGCTGCATTGTTAGCAAAGTTTTTTTGGCTCTGATCAACAATTCCCTCACTTCACATAGCTGAACATTAAAAGAAAATCAGTTCAATTCTAATTAATTCTTCAATACATAATGCATGAACAGAATGTTGAAATAACTTGCAATTGAAGATGAAACGGCAACCATAACAGCTAGGAAGATGATAAATGATGTCTTTGCAAACATTCCTGCAAAATGAATTACAAATAGATCATTACTGCAACAGTGCCTAATAAGTAAAAAAAAAAAGGGGGGGGGGGAGACAGGAGGAAGCAGAGCAAGGAGGAGGAGGGGGAGAAGGAAAAGGGGATGAAAGGAAAGAGTGGAAAGGAAGGGATGGATGCAAAAAGGAAGGAGGTAGTGGGAGGGATGGATGCAAAAAGGATGGAGGTAGTGGAAGGGAGATAGGAATAAAAGGATGAAGGAGGAAAGGAAGGAGAAGAGGGAAAGGAGGGAAAGAGGTGAAGGGGATGGGGAAAGGAGCAAGGGAGGGAATGAAAAATGAAAGGAAGAAGGGAGGGATGGAGGGAGAAAATGGGAAGACAGAGTGATGGCAAGGAAAAAGGGGGAGCGGATGGAGGGAGAAGGGGTGATAGAAGGGATAAGGGAAGGGAAGGGAGGGAGGGAAAAACAGAAAGAGGAAGGAAGAGAAAGTGAAGGAGGGAGAGAGGGAGGAATGTAGGAAGAAATTGAGAGGAGAAATGTTAGCAAAGGAGAGGAGGGGAGGAAAAAAAGAGGTAGGGAAAGGGAAAGGAAGGAAAGTGGAGGGAAGGGAGAGAAAAAAAGAACAAGGTAGGAAGGGAGGGAGGGATGGACGAAAAAAGTGGGATGGATGTGGGAAGGGAAAAAGAAAGGGAGGGAGAAGCAAGGGGAGAGGGAAAGAGGAAAGAACAGACGGAGAAAAATAAGAAGGGAGGGCAAGGGAACGAAGGAAATGATAAATGACGCTCTTAAAACATAATAAAATATCATAAAGTAAGGGAATAAACCACTAATATTTTTGTCTTACCTGAACCAATCAGGCAAACTATTAGGCAAAAGAACAGGACTATTGATGCATACAAAAATGAATACCATGTCCCTGAACGGAAAACTAAATCAACAAATGGTAAAAGAATATTTCAATAGACAGACACTTTTAAACAACTTGTAATGACCTAAATGATAATCAATATTGGTTTTATTCAATAACATATCAATAAAATTATAAGCCACATAGAGGAAAATTAGACTAACTGCTTAAAAACCAGTTGTATGTCACATAGTACTTACTGTTTGGAGATGATTCCTGAAAATTGTTCAGCAAGGCTTCTACAAAACCTGTTGAAAGATAAAGTCACATTGAATACATTTTATTGCAAACTGCTCTCCACATCAATCTCTGTCATCCTCTGAGACATTTAGAACAATTATAAATATTCATTCAAGACAAAAAAGATTCTTCTTGCAAAAATTCATTCACAAGCTAAAACAGCTGCAAAACTTTGTCAGCTGCTCTGTGATTGTAAAACTGACTGTATTGTAAAACTGACTGTATACTCACCCAGGAGATAGAGTGCAGAGGCAAAGATATTAGCGAAGTAAAAAATAACTCCTATTGATCCCCCAAATTCTGGACCTAATGTACGACTAATCATGTCTGATTTGAGTTAAAAAAAGCTACATGACATTCTATGTAATAATTAATGAAACATTTGACATACACCACAGCGAAAATGTGTGATGTTTGATACATGTCCTAAGAATCATGACCATCATCATCATTCTTCATTTGCCTTTTAAACAATACAAAAAAAAAAAACTAATTGCAGTAATATGATTAAAATGCAATGACACCTCAAGAAACCACTGGATTTAAGGGAGAAGCCACCTCACTTACAACAAAATATAATCAGAAGAGGATAAGTGCTGCAGATGTGTAGCTTGGCCAAATCAGTGATTACTAATAAGTAAAATTTTGCATTTTCTTTTAACACTAAGACTTGATGAACAAGTGACTGAAACAAGAAAAGAGTTCCAAATTTTAGGACCTTGGCAGCTAATTATTAATACCATCATCCTGGTAACAGGAATATTTTTAAAATAAGTAGGAGGAACAAATCAGAAGGTCTGGCTTCACCTAAAGCCCTGACAAAGTCTTTAACGCCCAGAAGTGATTAACATGTAACTTCTTCCTATTATATCTCTACATTATCCAGCAAACAGGTAATGAGAAAACTCCAACTCATCAGGTTGAAGTTGCTATCTTGATCTGATACCAAATTCTTGTAACTAATTTGCAAGGAAATGTGTAGCAGCTAAGGGGAGAATTAACAATCAGATCTTGGGAGTTCAAGGCTAAAGGTACTATGTTGCTAGTTGAGGAACTCACAGTATATTACCTCTTGCCAAACTGCATTGGAATTACCCGTAACAATTCCTATTATTCTTAAATCTTGGAAAAAAATCTAGCTCTACATTTAAAGCAGGATACAGTAGGCTCCACCCTCCTTGACTGCACCATTTGTAGCAATAGCTGAGATGGACAGTATTGTTAAGCCTACTACAAAGTAAGCAATTACGAACATGCCAATGGACAATACTAAGCCAGCCTGAAAACAACAAAAATCATTATCCCTTTAACTCCTATGAGTGACCAAGACAGAATTTCTCCTTACAATATCATTACAGTATCAACCAGACAAGTGATAAGAATAAAGAAAAATATCAGTAAGGGGATAATTAGTTGATCCAATACTAAATTCTCTGACCTAACATTATAAGAATTGTATGGTTGACAGTAAAGAGAATGACAAATTTGATCTGGGAGTTAAAGGGTTATTCAAAATACATTTTTTTCCTTATTTAATCAACCATATTCAGTGATGAAAAAGTAGGCATTAACCTTGCCTTTGAACCCAAAGAGTGACAAGCATCTAATTTCTCCTTACAATATCACCCCCGAATCACACATTAAGGTAATGAGAATAAAGGAAATGATCACCAGCTAATATCCTTCTTGTCAGTGCCTTATGAAATGTTTAGAACATTGTATGGAAAATATGTGTAGTGATGTTAGGGTGAGGCTTTGGAGAAGAAAGTCTCATTTCTAGAATCAGAGGTAATGACAAAGCTTTGTTCTTCTTGTCTCAATACCACTCTCAAACTGTTTCTAAGAATTCTCTAATTAATGACAACCTTAAATAAGAACTGTAAGAAATTGGGATCTTATTAACTGTACATTAACTCTATCTGCTTATTAAAAAAAAAAAGGGAGAAACTTCACATACCTGACCAACAACAAAGCCAAGACGCAAAAATAAAATTACTGAAAACATGGATAGGGTGACTGGTACCACAACACCAAAAAAAGTTGACAATTTTTTTCTGTGCTCTGGCTCTGAAAACCAATAAGCAAATTAAAGAAAAAAAATAATTCATTTTACAGATTGAAATAAGACCTAGTGCAAGGGTATCTTGAATGAAGATTCTCCAATTCAAACATTGCTATCATATTGGGACAGTTATCTATTAAAATTAAGTGCATTAATGTGCACTACTTGGGCAGTAGTGAAAATAAGGCCTGAAAAAAATTCAGGCCTGTACGGGATTTGAACCCATGACCTCTGCAATACCGTTGCAGTGCTCTACCAACTGAGCTAACAAGCCAACTGGAAGCTGGTCACAATGTTGGTTCCAAATAAACCCGTGAAGTGATGAATAAATATGACTTTCATAATTATATTCTTAACCAAAATTAAGAGCAGTTTAGTATTCTATCATAATTACTTTTAATCATCCTCTTGTACTTTAATTGGTTATTACAAGTATTTCATTTATAATAAATAATAACCTCTTTATTTTTGAGAAATATTCATTAGGAGCAGGACACTAGGTTATTATCACTCTCTGGCTGCTAGGCATTATAAATGTGCACATTAATTACAGGGCTGTAAATGAAAAAAATTTATAGAGTGGTAATGATAAGTCCATATTACCACTTATGACAAGGAATAATACATTACCTTCTGCTGTCACAGACATATACTTCTGTGAACTTTGTTCTTCACCAATATTTCTCAATGGATTGGATAGCATCAGAGAGTAACCTCAATTATTACACAAGAAAAATGCCTTAATTTTCTGTTACTTTAATTCAGCTAATGAGCAAGCTCTCCAATAAATAGCTATCAGTAGCCTCAACCCATAAGCAACACTTGGTTATTCAGCGTCCAAGCTTTTTCAAATAGGATTTTCTCACAAGTATTCATTTCCATCACATTAATGAGGTTACTAAAAGTTTTCACTAACTAATGATGGTAATTGAATCCAAGCCAGGTGCATCTGAATTTTCAATATTGCACTTCCCTGTTCAAATCACTTTCCAATAGCATTTACATAATTAGCATGACAAATGATTGCTTTAGACACACAAAAAGTAAAAACCTCCCATGCTGAAGTGCTCCTTAACAAATATTGCAATCTAGATTGGTTATAAGCTACTCGCTATCTTTTCCATGATGATGATGTAGTATATAAGGTTAATAGCTGAATTGTGTGGTAATGCAAATAATTAAAACTAAAAATAAAAACAAAAGCTTGTCTTGTTGTGTTATTGTCTGTTAGAATTATGTTTTTTATTAGAATGATTTGATAACTGGTGTTTTATCTCAATTCCTATTACAAGGTAGTAAACTCAGGTTTCATCATCAAAAACCACCTTACAATAGCCATCCCTTGCTCATGATTTAATAATTAATTATACTTTCTTTTACAAGAATGGAAGAAGGGGAGAAAAACGTTATGCAGATATAGTACCAAGAATAGTATTCACTGTGTATGAGTATTTAATCAATAGATAGCTTTAATATTTGACCAATTGATGACTTAATTAGTAAACAACTGATTTTAATAATACCATTAATTAATCAAATAGGGGCAGGGAGGAGCTGCTGTGATGTATAGATACTGGATCCTGACTTGCAAGGTACATGTTGAAGACTGAGCCAAGTGGGTTTTTTTCTTTTTTTGGGAAAGACATTTAATTATAAAACTGGCACTTTCTACCCAGGACTAAATAAATGGGTTCAGGTGAATTGTCAAGGAACCAGAACCAATGCAGAGGGTGAGGGGGGAGGGTTTACTTGAAATGAAATGGCATCCCACCAAACTACTCCATGGTAAAATGTTATGTGCTGAAGACCAGGATAAGCTCTGGGGTTCTGTATTGACTTAACTCAAGTGCAGACATCTACCTGTCATTAATCAACAGACTGATTGATTGAACTTACTGACTAATCAATTAGAAAACAGAAGTATTAATGGGTACTATCACAAAAGGAAGGGATCCTCTATGGAATAAAGGTGAAGGGGTGGAGCCAGACTTCTGACAAAAATGTTCTCAAAATATGTTGATGCAATGATTATCAGGCCTCATAAAAGAAGGATAATGCTCTCCCAAGGATAAATCACTATCCAGTCAATAAATGGTAGCAAAATGTACTGGGCTTTCCACCAGGTAGAGATTAACTAGTGAAAAGCAAATTATCCAACCTTTGAACAACATGATCCAGGATTATATTTTGCATGTGTTTGATGCATAAATAGCATACATGTACACCAGCACTGTGGGGGATTTCACAAAGTTTCATGCGATTATGACGATTGCAAGCTGATTAAGAGACTGCAAAGAGGTATGTAAGTGTTTCAAGTTCATATCTGCATCCTAAAAGTGTTTCAAGTGAAAAGTGAAACTGCTATATAAATTTCTCAGAGCAATTTTTTAAATTTAAAGGCAATAACTTTTTGAATATTTTGACTAAATGAATGAAATGCACAAATGTCGGTGGCTCAGGGTTAGACACAAAGCTCGTTCTGTAACTAAAAAATGTATCAATTTGCATACTAATAAAACAGAATTTGTTTGCTGCAGTATAAAACCTCGCTAAAGTGAAATTAATGAAAGCGAGATGAACATAATCTCCACTCGAGCTGATAAACAACTTGTATTTATTATTTAAAGAAAAAACGTAATTCCTTACCTAAGTTACGATTTTAATAAGACTGCAGGTTTGCTGTGTCATTCTAATACTAGAATGCTACAATGCGGTTACGGAACATTGGCGTGCGCCTTCCGCTTACTTTTTTATATGAAACATGACATCATTTATGACAATAAACAAAGAATACCTTCTGTCATTCCTAAACTGCCCTCAGCCTCTTCTGAAACAGTTTCCCAAGACGACGCAGAGGGAAGCAAGGTATATCTTCCCATCAGCGGTCTCGGTGATCCAGAAAAAGTGGCCATTTTGCTGCTGAACAGGCTTCACCTTTTCAGAGGTCTGATGATTTCCGTCTGACCTCTGATTATCCTAACACGGTGGGAAATTGGGTCGAGTGTCTAGTGCCAGTCTACCGCTGGTTTCAAAATGGCGGCCAGACTCAAGAGAAGAGATGTTTGCGAAGTCAGGTAAATATTGGTTTGTTGAGTTCTGAAAATGTTACCCAGCGTTGTTCCAGGTTTTTAAAAGAGGACCTAAGTTACTCAAGACCTGTTAGGTCGATTTATTAGGGAAAAAAAAGAACAGATCCTTAGATTTGCGTTTACCCCTTTTCAAGTTCTCTTTTTAGCCCTTCCCCGACCGTGGAAATTCTGTGATAATTAAGATGTATATTTTGGAGCCTACAGAGTTATATATCTTAAATTGGATGTATTCAACCTTTGCTTGATAGAAATTGCCATGATAAGTTAGTATGATTCGAAGTCCATTGTGGTGACGCGTTGGTAGCAACAAGATAACACAATGATTCCTAAGATGAGAAGTCTGAGATGTCTTCATCTTCGCTGTTTCCGCCTGTTCCACCCACGGCATTATGCCAACGATCAATCGATCAAGCCTAAAGCTGTTGCATTTGACATGGGAGGGGTGGTGCTCCCCTCACCAGTCCCCCTGTTTCATCAGTTTGAAGATAACCATGGTCTCCAAAGAGGTTCCATTGCTGCAGCTATTAATGCTGGTGGTGAAAGAGGTAAAATGAAAACTATTATGGGTCATGAAGTTCTCAATAAATGATACAAGGGCAGATTTAGGGGTGAGGTGCATGGGGTGTGCACCCTGCTCCCTGATATAACCTGCAGCCTTCTAACATAACTTCATGGTTACACAACATTTGCTGTATTGTTTACTATGTATTTTCAACAGTTCCATTAATATTATTGTTTAGTTATTAGCCATCTTCTTTATCATGCGCTTTAATTTTTTTTTTACATCCCCCTTTCTAAGAAAAATCTTGGATCTGCCCCTGTGATAGAATGTGCAAATGCCTTGTCTATTGCTGGTTAATCAATTAAGTATTCAGTCAATTTTGAGTTATGCAGTTGATTCAGATATTATATTAGTCAGTAGGTGGGTTTGTCATTAGGCCAGTTAGGGGAATTGATCAATCCATACATTGCCATTACTTGCCCAGTTAGTCATTACCCCTTAAACCTGCTACTAAGTTATTTTGCACATGAGGTCCATAATTCAAGTAGCAGCTGTTAGCCCTTTAACTCTGATCCAGAAATTTTCCTTGCAACAGTAATGTGATATCAAGGACACAAGTAATGAGAATAAAGAGAAATTTCAACTAGGGGATTATTTGTTGATCCAATACCAAATTTTCCAAATTATCATCATGAGAGTTGCATGGAAGACAGAAAGGAGAGCTACTAATGAGATCTTACAGATGAAAGGGTTAATCAGGTCAATTAGTTGGCTTAAGTTGGTTGGTTGCCCCTCTCCCTTTTTAATGGTTGACAAAAGTGGTTTTTGTAATCATTAACTTTGATCAAAATGAAACTTCTGATTATGATTAATGACATTGCTACTCTTTGTTATGAACAACATCTTAAAGCATTGGATCACAATGTAGCCTGGACATAGCCTTTTACAGCTTTCAAAATATTACCTATATTCAGAAGAAGTTCATTTTATGACTGATGAAAGTACTTATTAAGCAATTCTGTATTATGAAACTTAAACTTTTCACATTACTTGTCATTAATATGTCCGATTTAAAAAGTTTCACTCTTAGTTTCTCTAACTTTATTGATTAATTGTGTCTTATTTTAGGTATCTGGGCACAGTTTGAATGTGGAACTCTTTCACCTGAAGAATTTTCAGACAAGTTTGGAGAATACCTGCAGTCAGTAACCAGCAAAAGTGTGAGCATGAAAGATCTAATTGGTGGCATTCAAACAGCCATGGTAGAGCCCCATCCTGAAGTAATAACAGCAATTCAGTGTATAAGAGCAGAGGGCCTAAAGACTGCTTTGATTACAAACAATTGGTTGATGGACAATGGGAAGTCATTTTGTCCAGTAGATGGAAGACATTTTGATGTGGTAAGAAGCTCACTGGTCCAGGGGAACTCCCTAATTTTTAAGAAAGGCCAGTGGTACTCAGATTAACAAGATCATGAAAATGAGGAAATAAATGGGCTGTAAGGTCAGCTTTTATGGATAGCCGATGAACAGGGACTGGTATGGTTTTGTTGTATCTTTTAGGAGTTCATGGAGATCCTTTAATTTTCTTGAGGATGATGAGAACCAAGTAGCATCAGACCTTTTTTTATACACTACAAAACATGATTGGACAGGCAACTGACTGTACTAAAATTCCTTCCTCCACCTCTTATGCTCTAGTTTCCTTCTTAAAAGATGGTTTTCTTACAAAATAAGCCTTCACTTCTTGTGTTTCCGTGGCTCCAATTCCATCATTTGTTCTTCCCCTTGCACCTCCCTTTTCTTGTCTTCCTCATCCCTTCACTGTTCTACCTCATGCTCACCCACTTCTTTTCATTTTTCTTCTCTCTTTACTCCTGACCACTTTTTAATCTTCCTTCCTTTACACCTCTCTTCAACCCTCCATCCTTTTCCCTCCTCCTTTTTATTTTCATAATCCAATCTTCATTTCACTTTCCTATTCTCTACCCTTAATTCACCCCAGTTGCTTCATCTCCTTCCCTTTTCTTCGATCTTATCACTTCTCATAACTACACCATTCACCAGTTTTTCCTCAGTCTTGCTTGGTCCTTCTCCTGTCATTCACCTTGACTTTAAGTTTCTCACTTCTCTCTCATATTTAAGCCCTTTCTTTCTCAATAATTACCTTTGCCCTTCTTCCTTCAATTGCAAGTTTTAACATGTGGATAATGATAAACTTTAAGGTTTTAGAGTCAGCATTGGAGGGTTCAAGAAAACCAGAGGAAAAATTTTACCACAAGTTGTTGGACAGGCTCAAGATGAATCCGGAGGAGGTGGTGTTTTTAGATGATTTTGGCAAAAATTTGAAACCAGCACAGAAAATGGGATTTCAAACAATTAAGGTAAAAAGAAGGTGGCAAGGAATTAAAGAAAATTTTGGTGATATCAAGTGAGTCGATATAACCAAAGTTATCTTTTTATATTCCTCCCACTGACGCAGCACCACATTCTCTTCAGAAACTTACCCTCTTTAACCCTTAACTCTCATAGGTGACCAAGAAAGAATTTCTCCTTACAATATCAATGTGATATCAACTAGATAAGTGATGAGAATAAAGAAAAATATCAATTTGAGGATAATTAGTTGATCCAATACAAAATTCTCTGAACTAACATCATGATGATAAAAATTGTATGGTTGACAGTAAGGGGAATTTCTAATTTGATCTGGGAGTTAAAAAGTTAAGGAATTAAGGTAGCCTTGGTGATAAATAGATTACAATGAAGAAGGGAATGACAGAATTACACTGATGAAAAATGGCAAACTTTTGAAGTTAGTGGATACATGATGTACTAAGGCCATCAAGATTGATTTTAAAAACTATCAGTTACTTATTAAAGGCATTGGAATTTCTTTTATTTTCATCAGCAAATATGCTAAGGCTGCCAACTGGAAATTAGCCTAACACAGTACAACTTCAAGCCAACTAAATGTTTTTTGTAATCAAATTTTTTTTTTTATCTTTCAAAAGGTTGATGACATAAGAAGTGCTTTGCATGAGCTGGAGATCATTCTTAGTTTTCCACTTAAAGGTAAACAGCCAGAATTATGAAAAGACACAAGATTGTGAAGTGAATCTCATGAATCTACAATAAACTGCTTTTTTTCTTGTACTTTTTTCTGTTCAGGTTTTGTTGCTGGGACCACAGCTGTGCGTAAAAGTCACCAGATTCCTGTGGAGTCCCTTGTTAGTTACCTGAATAATGAACTTGGCTTAAAGCAGGAAGGTGATCTCAAGCATTGGAAAAAAAAAGACTTATTCTAGTGTGTGCTATTTGTCAGTGATCTAGGTTGTGAAGCTTACTTTAGTGTAAATGTGTAACATCTTTTTGGCCTTGGTGCTTTTGATTAAAGACCATTTAAGCCTGTTCATTCCCAATATTTTGATGGAAATTCTCCTTACTGTCTGCCTTACATTTCTTTTAAAATTCATTTTGAGAATTTGTTGTTGGATCAAATGGTAATCCCTCTCTTAATATTTTTTACTATCAAATTTTTAAGTCTGAATATTGCATTTCTAGTGTTCTGAGTGGTTTACTAATTAAACTCTGGTCATCAGCTCATGTTTCAAGTCACTGTATGTAAAAATGCATAACGCCAACTGCTGCAGAGTTGAAAAAGCCCCAAATATCCAAACATTCAGGACTTAATGACTTGTTATAAAACAACTATTCAAGATTTTGTGCATTTATGTGATTATGCCATTGTTGCTCCTGCAAGTGAAAGGAAACTTACATAATTTGAACTCCTGTTTTAAATGTTTCAATTGAAACACAAGTTGAATAGAAATAACAGGACTTTAAATTTAAAGACTTTTCAGTCCTGTTGTAGGTTTTTCAATCTATCTTGTGGTTTATTTTAGACCCCCCAATAATTCGTCAGTTTAAACATGGTCAGTCCAATCCCACTTACTATGTGGAATATGGAGGACAAAAGCTGGTGATCAGGAAAAAACCTGTGAGTGATGACTTATGGTCAAGTCTTGAATGTTCGGAAATCATTACTAGTGCCAGACCCAAATAAAGAAGTATTCATTTAAGAATCTATTGTACTTAACACATTTGCTGGCCACAAGTTCAGTTTTGTATTTTTGTAGCTACCTGTAATCTTTTCTGATTTATTTTTGTTCCTCTTTCAGCCTGGAAAGCTTCTTCCTTCTGCTCATGCCGTGGAAAGAGAATATAAGTTAGTTTATTCTCGTGATTTGCTATTTATTTTCACGTCCGGTCATTTACTCATGTGGTCTTGTTAGTTGTTAGACCATGAAACTTTTGACATAACAATAGGCAAGCACAATTTCTTGATAAAACCTTGCTTGAACAAGCACACGCAACAGAGAAAGAGAGAG